CACGGGACACAGGAGGAGGCGTGGGGAGCATGGCAGCCATGAACACGGGTCACGGGACACAGGAGGAGGCGTGGGGAGCACGGCAGCTGTCCACACGGGTCGCAGGGCCTGTCTCTGCGCCTGTGTTTGTCTGAGATAGATTTCCTGCAGGTCCTGAAGGACTCTCCCCCAGGGGCCTCCGGGGAAGGTGTTAGCTGGAGATAGGAGCCTTCACCCTGCGGTGGGTCACTAGTTCTGTGTTAATATTTGTAATCACTGCCCTTCAACTTCTGAATTAGCTCGTCTGTGATTTAGAACAGAACTTTGTGCTAGGAAGTGGTTTACCTGATTTTATTTTCAAACGTCAAACTTTATTTTAAGTTGATTTGTGATTATTCCTGGAATTTAAAAAAATTTTGCATGCATGTCAAGAAATGACTTCGCTTAAAATACTTTTCAGCCAGCTTAAGTTTAAAATTTAATTATCAATAGAAATGTAAACCGCACTGTCTTTTCCTTGTTGACAGGCTTAATGGTACATAATTGTGGTCATCCTGAATGTGCCCACCTCTGGGAGCCGGGCCGGGACTCTGCGCTTCTAGTACGCCCCCAGCTGATGCCAAAGCTGTTGGTTAGTCAGGGGACCACACTCCAGCGAGTGGGGTCACTGCGAGAAGTACACTAAGTTAAGAGACAGGAGTGGCCTCTCAGAACCTCTGGCCGGAGGTTCGCCCTGCAGCAGAGGAGGAACTTCCCACTGTGTGTGGGATGGGGCTCTCCCACCCGCAGGGGCCTGGCCCTCCCTCAGGCCCTCACTAGGTCATGCCCTCTGTGAGCTTCTAGGCCAGACTCACTGTGTCTGGCTTTTATCATGGAAAAGAAAAAATTAATCCAGTTAACATTGGGGCCCACACAATCTAAATCAGTTCTTCAGGGTCCTCAGTTCCCCTTCCGGCCCCTGCACCCCACCCCCAACACCACAGCTCCAACGGTCAGGCCTGCACGCCTCCTCGCCTGCCCGCACACTCTCGGCCTCTGCCTGTCCTCACTCCCAGCCTCCCAGGACCCCCGCCCCCCACCTTCCCAAGGCAACAGGCCCGTTGTGACAGAGTTCTTTAGGGTGTGCTACGAGCCGCGCACTGCGAGATGTGCCCTCGGTGAATCACCCCTTAGGCTTTCACATTCACCACTGAGTCAGGTGATATCGCTGTCCCACTCTTCAGATGGTTCACAGAAATAGTGGGTCTGTTTCCAAATCTCCCATCCCACCCAGGATGCTCCAGCCGTCCCACCCACCAGCACCAGCATGGCCTCGCTGGCCCAGGGAGCCCTGCTGGGGCGGCCCCATGCTCCTCCTACCTGTGGAGATGCAGGACTTGCCGTTGTCACCCAGGATGTACCCCCTGGCACAGGAACACACCACGGAGTTCTGCTCCTCGCGGCAGAACTGGTCACAGTCCCCATTGTCCAGGCTGCAGAGTTTCCGCGTGGCTGTGGGAGAGGCATGCTGGTGCTCAGGACAGGCAAGGGAAACCAAGGCTGCAGCTGGCTAGGAGGAAGGACAGCAGCACCCGGGGCACATCCACCTGCCTGTCAGCCCACAGTGGGCCAGCCGGCTAGAGCAGAGAGCCAGAGCCACGCGGCCGCTGCGCATCAGCCGGTCCCAGTGCAAACAGGACGGCCACCAAGAGCAGGCTGGGGCGAGGGGACCACGCCTCCGTGTGCGCTCTTCTCTCCCCCACCGCCTCCCTAGCCTCATGGGGACACCATGGTGTCTGCGCAGGGGACAGTGAGTGTCTGCGGGCCCTGGGAGCCAGACTTCCAGAAGGCCCTTAAGAAACCTGAGCACACACAGAGAGGCCCTAGAGGCTGGGGTGGGGTGTCTCAAGTTCAGCCCTAAGAAGGGCACATGGGTGCTGACCAGTGTGGGCAGGCTGCCTACAAGAAGGTGGGCTCCAGGATCAGGTGCTCAGGCCCAGCCTGGTGGAGCAGCCACCGGCCTGTTCACGCTGAGGCTAGAGGATTCCCTGTGGAATACGGGCCTGGAGCCTGGGGTTGGCTCCAGTGCGGCCAGAAAGAGGGACAGGCAGTCACGTCCTGGACTCAGGCTGACCCAAGTGCAAGCTGGCCCTTCCTTCGCTGGCTGTGTGATATGGGCAAGTTGTTTACACCCCGTAGGCCTTGGTTTCCTCACTGGTAAAGTGGTGGAGGTCACACCACCTCCCAGGACAACCTCACAAGTCGCGTGACCTTAGCACAGTGCCCCACGTGGAGTCGTGGCTCCCCCGGCCAAGGCCAAGTTTCTGGGACGTCGAGGCTGGGCTGAGCGCATCCTCTGCAGTTCAGCAGCTCCGCCGAAGCCAGAAGCACCCACCTGCTTCCAGGGTACCCTGAACCTCAAACTCCAAACTCACATCAGTGATGCCACCCTGGCAATTTCCTTACATCCCGCCACTTGGGTTTTGACGAAAAAATAATTACAGTCAACATTCATGGGACTTTAGAATACATTCACAATAGCCCCGGGGTCAGCCAAACAGTGTGCAGGACGGGTAGCTCTGGACGGGGGATGGAGTCATGCATAATGATGTTCCCATTGGGGAAAGGTCCAAAGTAACCCAATCTCAGGACACGTTCTAAAGGTTATAAATTTAGTAATTTAAAAGAAATGCAGGGCCGGCACCTCAGGTTAGGTGCCTGAGCTCTGCTGCTGGCGGCCCGGGTTCGGATCCCGGGCGTGCACCGACGCACCGCTTCTCGGGCCATGCTGAGGCCGCGTCCCTCATACAGCAACTAGAAAGATGTGCAACTATGACATACGACTATCTGCTAGGGCTTTGGGGAAAAAAAAGGAGGAGGATTGGCGATGGATGTTAGCTCAGGGCTGGTCTTCCTCACAAAAAAAAAAAAAGAAAAAGAAATGCAAGTTCTTCTCCTTAGGGGAAACTGGTTTAATACTAACATATTGTCATTAAAAATTAATCACCAGGGGGCTGGCCCTGTGGCTTAGCACTTAAGTGTGTGCGCTCCGCTACTGGCGGCCCTGGTTCGGATTCCAGGCGCACACCAAAGCACCGCTTCTCCAGCCATGCTGAGGCCACGTCCCACATACAGCAACTAGAAAGATGTGCAACTATGACATACAACTATCTACTGGGGCTTTGGGGAGAAAAAGGGAAAAAAAAAGGAGGAGGATTGGCAATAGATGTTAGCTCAGGGCTGGTCTTCCTCAGCAAAAAGAGGAAGACTGGCATGGATGTTAGCTCAGGGCTGATCTTCCTCACACACAAAAAAAATTAATCACCATATTAGGAAGACTCTTAGTGACTTTTCCATGTAGAATTAGAAGGGACCTGAGACTGTCTCCTCAGGCGTGTTAGCTCTTTCCCCTTTTCCCACCTTTGACTCTTCAGGTAGCTCTGACCTGAAAGTACGCCAAGAAGAGGAACTCACAAAATTCACAGTTTTTGCCTTCAAATCCTTCCAAGCAGGTACACATGTATTCCCCGAGGCCGTCTTTACACGTGCCCTCATTCAGGCAAGGGCTGTTGTCACACTGGTCGCCATCTACAAAGAAAGGATTTGGAAACCAAAGCTTGCAGGCGATTCCCATCATCATGGAAATGGTTTTTGTGTGTTGATCTTGGCACACGGTTTTCAGATAACTTGACTGAACATGGAATTCTCCCTGTAAACAATTTCTCCTGTCTGGACTTTGTTTTAGCCCCACCTTTTGTGGCTATGTGTACGCCCTTATCTAAATGGATCATTGACGAGTTTTCCAATTTTTGCTGAGATGTTTGACAGTGTCTTTACATCAGAGTGAGGAGCTCTGGGCTGGGGACCACATGGTACCAGCTGGAAGGATGGAAGACAGGAGATTGCCTGACACTCCTTTTTAGGCTGGGCTAATTAACAAGAGGGATGGTAGGGTTCCTCTTTCCAAATGGTCTGGGGCTAAAATGAGAATGCACAGACACGCAGTCCAGCACTGACACGCAGCCTCACATTTCCCAGTGCATCTGGACGATCTAACTTAGAGACAGGTCCGACTGTCATACTGAGAAATTGAATCCTATTACCAGAACGAAAACATGAGTCATGATTGACACAACTGCAGATGCTATAAGCATTAAGTCAAGGTGGTTCCCTTATTACAGGACTCAGTCTTTCAGACTCTATTTTTTGTTTCTACCTAATATACTTGGATTAAAAAAAATATATCATGGAATTTGGTATCTTAAAATGATTTATCTATATTTAAGTAACAAAACTAAAATTAGTATAAAGTTACTATAAAAAACTATTTTATAATAACTTTTATGGAAACACTCAGAGGAGAAAAGTCTTAAATGAGTACGATTTAAACAGGAGCTGAAAAGAAATTCGGGAAGCATTTTCAAAATTCAAATACAATCTCTCTCAACTTAAATATCCTAATGGACCGCTCTCATTTAAGATTAAAACAGAAAACATCTCACCTTTGTATTTATTCCAGAATTCATTCTAAAAGGGAAAAAAGATTTTTAAATACATTAGGGAAAAGACAGACATTTTACACCAATAACCACCACGACCTAGTAACTCAAGCTGATAGGATACTTTTCCCAAACAGAGGTCATTTTCTGGAACAAACTGCTATTTGTTCTATTCAGTCTAAAAGGGAAAGGTTTTCAGATCTTTTGCACCTGTAAAGATGTGGCTTCGATCATCTTAAAGTCACCATCTCTGCTGAATGTTGAAAATTTATTTTCAAGTTAATCACCAAGAAGTGGATTGTACCAAAAATGGTGTGCTCTGTTTGCTACCCCCAAGCCAACTGATGAATGGTTTTTAGTTAAGATACCTGGGTCAAAGATTTGATAAAGGATCAGATGCTTGGAGAATAATCATTATGTTAATTGAAAAAGTGGTAATTGGCAATTAGCTTAAAATAGGGCATCAAGAGCGTATATTACACTAAAAAATGTTCATAGTCTTAAAAAATTTTTTTTGCTGTCTATAGTAGGTTGAATAGTGTGCTCCCCTCCCAAATTGAGGTACAACCTCAGAATGCAACCTCAGACCTTAATGCGGAATAGGGTTTTCACAAATGTAATTAAGGTATGAATTGAGATAAGATCATACTAGATTAGGGTGGACCCTAAATCAATGATGAGAGACAGAAAAGTACACACAGAGCCACACAGAGAGAAGAGGCCATGTGAAGATGGAAGCAGAGATTCAAGCGATGCATCTACAAGCCAAGGTATGCCAAGGATTACTGGCACCACCAGAAGCTAGAAGAGAGGCATGGAGCAGATACTCCTGCAGACCTTCCAGAAGAAACCAACCCTGGTGACACCCTGATTTTGGACTTGTGGTCTCCAGAACTGTGAGAGAATAAATTTCCGTTGTTTTAAGGCACCCAGTTTATTGTACTTTGTTACAGAAGCCTAAGAAACTAATAATACACTGTCTTTTTAAATTTTATTTTAAAAAATTATCACACAGTAAAATTGACTTTTTTAGCGTACAAGTCTATGAAATCCAACACACGTAAACATTTGTATCACCACCCCCACAACCAAGACACAGAACACTTCTATCTCCCCTCAGACTCCCTCACGCTATCCCCCAACCTTGCCAACCCCTGCCAACCCCCACCCCTATTGCCTAGCACCACTAATCTGCTCTCCATCACTTTAGTAAGGATTTCTTGAGAAGATCATATAATTGGAATCATACTTTATAAAACCTAGTGAAACTAGCTTCTTTCATTCAGCATAATGTCTTTGAAATTCATTCAAGTTATTGTGTGTATCAATAGTTTCTCTTTTTTTATTGCTGAGTAGTATTCCATTGTGTGGCTGTACCACAGTTTGTTTATCCGTTCACCCAACGAAGGACATCTGTATTATTTTCAGTTTTTGGCAATTATGAATAGAGTTGCTATAAACATTTACATACAGGTTCTTGTGTGAAAAAATGTTTTCATTTCTCTAGGATAAATACCCAGGAATGGGATTGCTGAGTCATATGGCAACTTTATAAGGAACCGTCAAACTGTTTCAGAGTGGTTATACCATTTTGCTTTCCCACAAGCAGTGTATGAGAGTTCTGGTTGCTCCACATCCTCACCAGCATTTGTTTTTTGTTTTTTTTTTTGCTGAGGAAGGTTGGCCCTGGGCTAACATCCATGCCTATCTTCCTCTACTTTATATGTGGGACGCCTGCCATAGCATGGCTTGATGAGCAGTGCATAGGTGTGTGCCCGGCATCCAAACCTGCGAACCCAGGGCTGCTGAAGTGGAGTGTGCAAACTTAACCAATATGCCACCAGGCCAGCCCCTTTTGGTCAGTATTTTTAATTCTATAGGCATGCAGTGGCATCTCATCGTGGTTTTAATTTGCATTTCTGTAATGGCTATTAATGTTGAATATCTTCTCATGTGCTTATTTGCCATCCATGTATCCTCTTTGGTGAAGCATCTATTCAAATCTTTTGCTCACTATATCTAATTGGGGTGTTTATTTTCTTCTATTGAATTGTGAGAGTTCTTTATATATTCTGAATACAAATCCTTTGTTGGATATGTGATTTGCAAGTATTTTCTTAGTCAATAGCTCGTATTTTCATTCTCTTAACAATGTTTTTCACAGAGCAAAAGTTTTAAATTTTGACTAAGTCCACTTTACCCCTTTTTTTTTATGGATTATACTTTTGGTGTCTAAGAATTTTTGCCTAACTCCATATAATGAAATTTTTCTCCTAAAAATTTTATGTTTTACCTTTAGATCTATGATCTATTTTGAGTTAATTTTTATATAGTTGTGAAGTTGAGGTCAAAGTTGACCTTTTTGCACATAAACATACAATTTTTCCAATACCATTTGTTGAAAAAGATAATTCTTTCTCCATTGAATTGCTTATGCACCTTTGTCAAAAATGAATTGGTCATACTTGTGTGGGTCTCTTTATGAACTTTCTGTTCTGTTCCATTCATCTATGTGTCTACCTCTTTACCAGTACCAAACATTAATACCTCTGTCATTAAGGTAGCTTCACCGTAAGTCTTTAAACCAGGTAGTGTGATTCCTCCACCTTTAACTTCTTTCTCAAAATTGTTTTAGCCATTCTAATTTTTTTGCTTTTCCATATTTCCAATTTTAGAATCAGCTTGTCTCTATCTGATGGAATTTTTATTGGCATTGCTTTAAATCTATCAATCAAATTTGGGGGACTCAATATCTTAATATGTTAAGTCTTTTGATCCATGAACATTGTATGTCTATTTATTTAGGTCTTCTTTAACTTCTTTCATTAGCCTTTTGCAGATTTCAGCACACAGATCCTGTACATGTTTTATTACATTTACATGTAAATATTCACTTTTCTTTGAAGCAATAGTAAGTGGTATTTAAAATATTTTGGGGTCTAACTGTACATTGCTACTACATAGAAATATGATTAATATTTGTGTGCCCATCTTGTATTCTGTGCCTTTGCTAGACTCCCTTATAAGTTTTAGGAGTATTTTTTTTCAAATTCCATGGGATTTTCTATGTAGATAATCATGTCATCTGCAGGTAGGGATAATTTGCTTTCTTTTTCTTGACTCATTATTAGGTTTTCTTTACAGCTAGGACTTCCAGTACAATGTTGCATTGGGAGTACTGAGAATGGACATGCTTGCCTTGTTCCCAGTCTTAGGGGGAAAGCATTCAGTTTTCACCATTAAGTATGATATCAGTCGTGGGTTCCTCTAGATGCTCTACCAGCTTGAAGTTCCCTTTTATTTGTAGTTTGCTGACACATTATCACGAATGGATGCCATACTTTGTGAGATACTTTTTCTGTATCAATTGATATGATTTTGTGGATTTTCTTCTTTAAACTGTTAATATGGTAGATTAAGTTATTAATTTTTAAATATGGAGCCAGGCTTGTGTGCACTAGATAAACCCACTTGGTCACTGTGTATTCTTTTTTTATATATTGCTGTATTCAATTTGCTAATATTTTGTTGAGGCTTTTTATGAGAAGTTAATGAGAAATATTGTTATTTATTTTCTTTCTTCTTTCCTTCCTTGCCCCATCCCTCCCTCTCTCTTTCTTTCTCTTTTAACCATCTTTGTTGGTTTTGGCACCAGAGAGATGCTGGCCTAAAACAAATTGAGAAGTGTTCCCTCTCCTTTTCTAGAAAACAGAATTGATGTTATTTCTTCTTTAAATGTTTGGTAAAATTCACCAGTGAAACCATCTGGACCTGGACATTTCTTCAGAAGATTTTCGACTAAGAAATTGAATTTGCAGATATCTCTTTCAGATTGTGTGTGTTTTGGTAGTTTGTGGTTTTGAGGAATTGGTGTGTTTCATCCAAATTGTCCAAATTTCAGTGTGAAGACTTGTTCATAGTATTCTCTTATTATCCTTTTAACATCTGCATGGTCTATAATGATATCCCTTATTTCATTCCTGATATAGGTAATTTGTGTGTTCTTTTTTCTTTATCCATCTTGCTGAAAGCTTGTCAGTTTTATTGATTTTCTCTATTACTTTTTATGTCTTCAATTTCACTGATTTCTCCTCTTTCAGGTTTATTTTGCTCTTTTTTTTAGTGTCTTAAGGTGAAAGTTTCGATTATGATTTGAGCCCTTCTTCTCTTCCAATAAAAACATTTAATGCTATAAATTTCCCTATAAGCACTACTTCAGCTGCATCCCACAGATTTTATATGTTGTATATTCATTTTTGTTCAGTTGAAAATATTTTCTAACTTCTTTTGAGACTTCCTCTTTGACCCACAGATTATGTAGAAGTGTGTTGTTTAATTTCCACATACTTGGAAATTTTCCTGTTATTGATTTTCGGTTAATTCCATTATGGTCAGACAATATATTTTATATGATTTTAATTTGTTAAGGTGTGTTTTATGACACAGGATATAGTCTATCTTGTGGAATGTTCCATGGGTGCTTGGAAAGAAAATGTATTCTGCTGTTGTTGAGAATTCTATAAACATCAATTAGATTCAGATCAAGTGATGTCTGGAGGATTGGAGGGAAAAAAAATGGTAAACTCACAGCCAGTTCTACGCTATTTCAAATTCTAGTCTTTTTTAATACACTGCCACTTACTTTTCAAGGTCCTCAAATAGCTGCTCCATGCATTCTATCCAGGTTTTGTAGCTACATTCAGTGGGAGAAACAGGGTGAGGTCTGCTTTCTCCATATTACTTGGAACCAGAACGTGCTGACAACCTTTGATCCAGGAATCCTCCTTTGGAACAGCTATTCTAACTTAGAAGATAATCCAGAAAAAATATATGTATGTGTGTTTTCATAAAAGCAATATTAAAAATAACTTACATGGCCAAAACATGAGACGAGTAAATGCATCTATACAATAAGATATAATTTAGCTCTTCAGAATTATAAATATGGTAGCTATATAAAAGTAAGAGAGGACATTTGGGAAATGATGCTGAGGAAAAAAGTAGAACCTGAACTTGGATTGGCATTACTATTACTTTTATTACTATTATTTTTTTAAAAACTACGTATGTGTATGTGAATTAAAGAAACATTTAAAAATGAAAATAGTTCCTGTAATTATGAATAACTTTTTAAAAGAGACAAATTGTTTATTTGGTAACAAGGAGTAAAATGAACTCAATTCTTCTTCTCTCTCTGGTGGCTAAAATGAACAGTGGTACTCAAATGGACAGCAACACACAAGAATGCCCTTGAAGACCACGAACTTTTGCAGAAATGCAAAGATGTCTGAGTCAGATGACTTACAATTATTATTTTCTAGACAGAAGTGCCAACTGTTGTGCTTTCCAATGTATCAGTGGTTGCTACATTCTCCTTATCTTAAGGTATCACTGCAAGAAACAGAAGTACTTCCTTGATGTTACTGAAGTCGGTGAGAAACCTGCTGATGCAGTTGATGCCCACGCCACAGTCGATGCCCAGCCAGGATTCTATGGCGGTATATAAGTTTTCATCTATGAACACGGCCTCATCATCATCAGTGGCTTTGGCCTGTGCTTTAAAAAGCTGCTTGCTGCTGCATGGGACTATTTCACTCAAATAGTTAACATACTACACACTTCCTTCTTCATGACAAATAGCTCAAAGTGTGCAGTGAGACCCAGAGTGGTCATCTGGATGAAGGGCTCATTATCTGTGGGTGACCACAGATGAATGTGGGACTGCTGCAAGTCCCTTTCAGGAACTCGCTGGCAAGCTTATCAAGGAGTCTGGCTGTCCTCTGAAGTGGAGGGCCTTCAACTGCTTTTGCCACAGAGATATTATGTGGAATTTTTTTAGTGTCTTCTGTTCTGAAGAGGTTGGTTTCCGGCAGCCTCACTCCCAGGACTTTCTCAAGCTCTTCTAACATGCTGACTCCAAAGAAGGGGGGAATGAAGTCAATCTCATGGGTCTGGCCTTCAGGGCCTCTGGATGATGGGTGACCTTGCAACTGCCTGTAATACAGTTCGCCATCCCTGGTACAACATCCATGACTTCAAGAGATCATAATAGTGTGCACAGGCCACACAAAACTCACAGGTGGTCAATCAAGTCACATCATCATAACTGGCATCCAATTTCCCACACCTGGTCAATGCCACCAACCGCCAGCATCTGACGGCAGAGTTCTGGAGCAGTTCTCCTACAAAGATTCACGTCCAACTTGTGCTGGGCGACGCTCCCCTTAAGACGGTGTTCATCACCGGGATTTAGAGTCCAGGAACCCCAAGGCACCCAAGAGCTCCGTATCTACGTGAGATCTTAACGCAGATGACAAGCTCCTCCTCACAAAGTCACTGAGGCTCGAGTCCAAGTATCTCCCGTGATACTGTGTCTCTTCTTCCAGGTCAAAGCGAGGATGAGGCGGCACGTGTAATCAGGGGACAGCAGCGTGAGGACGCTGCTCAGCACACCTTCCTGGCTTTTCCAGGGTTCTCCTGAACGCCAATCCCGTGTTCCGGAGGCAGTCTGCCACGGACGTGACTCAGCTATTCTCCTGACTTAAACTTCCTTGACTTGGCCACCACTCGCAACCCACCACCCGTCCCGAAGGGCACGGAACACGAGCTCGCTGCCGCCCTGGAGGAGCCGTCGGCCGGCGGGCTCCCCACGCCCGCAGGAGGCGGACGCTCCCGCAGCGTGGGCGCGGGTCCCCGTCAGCGGGGCGGCGGCCTGGCCGAGACCCCGCCTGGCCTCCTTCTTGGCTACTTTCTTCTCCGCTTTCAGCCTCCTCAGCTCGCTCCGCCGGCGCCAGCTCGCCGCGTCCATTCCCGCCCCGCCCCTTCCTCGCGGCCGTCTTTCCCGGATCCGGACCCCAGGTGCACGAGGCCCGCCGGCGACTTCCGGGGCAGCGTCCGAGGCCCCGCCTCTTCCGGGGCGGGCGCTTTCCACGCGCCGCCGCCGCTGCGCAGGCGCCGTGCTGGGCCTCGCCGCCCGGTGTCCATTGTGCGCCTGCGCGCCGCGCGCTCTGAGGGCAGTGCCCCAGTGCCCGCCGTCGAATATGGCGACGGCCTATGTGCTGTGCGCGGCCCGCCCGGGGAGGCGGAGGCCGGGCGTGGACAGTCTTTTTCGCAAACGTTTCATGTTTCAGAATCTACTGAGCGAGGCCCTCGGAAGTTCCCGGGCCGGCCACTGCCGTCGGCCCTCGCCCGGCCGGTGGGCGCGCGCGGGAAGTGCCCCGGCCGCCCTCCGCGCAGAGCCCACGCCCGGAGGGCCCTGCGTGGCCCGGGTCAGCCTCCCGCCCCCATGGGCCGCCTGCGCGGCCCCGCCCCGGCCCCTACCGTCCTCTCGGCGTCCTCGAAGACCTCCCGGGCTTCCTCGAAGGTGCAGCTCTCCTCCATGCACTCTCTCTCGAGGTTCCCTCTCTTCAGCTCCTCCAGGAACGAGTTGGCCCTGCGGACGCGGGCCAGGAGGCCGTGCGCGCGCTCCCGGCTCAGGAACACTGCAAGACGGGGCGGCTGGGGGGCGCCCGCCTCCCTCCCGAGTCCCCGCGGGGTGCTGCCCAGGACGCCCGTGCCTGGCGGTTTTCGGTGGGGCCGGCCGCACGCACCTTCTCCGGGGGAGTCAGCCTCCCGCCAGCCGCCCCGCGCCCGACCCACGCCCTGTCTTGAACTGGCCCTTCTCAGAGTGCTTCCGGGTCACTGTCGCCTCCCGGCCGCTGCACCCCCCGCCCCGAGCCCCACCCGCCCCTCGAGGTCTCAGCTCTGAGTTAAGTGGGTGGGGAGTCGTGATACTGTTTTGATCATCTACCATTAAAAGTATGGTTTGTATCAAGTCCCAGGAACATACACATAAAGCAAAAGTTTCAAGAAATAGTACTTACTACTGTTTTCTACAAAATAGTACTTATTACAGAATCTGTACTTGATCCTGTTCTATTTCATTTTTTAAAACCCACTAAATTGGTGCCATGACTCACAAAGGAGTCATGAGCTGCCAATTAAAATGTCTTGGATCCAAGATTCTCTGGACCGTCCTTGTGTGTGGACCTACAGCTGCGTCGTGCCCACCTCTTTGCCTGTCCTCTCTCTCACCCATTCCTTTTCCTCTTTGCGTTGTGATACCGGAGGCCCTGGGATTCTTTTCTTGGCCCTCTGTGCTTATTTCTCTACCTTTTTCCACTGAAGAATTTAGAGTATCCCCATAATAAAGACGACTCTCCAAGTTGATATTTCTAGTCCCAACTTTCACCCTGAGCTCTAGGTTTTCGACTCCCTCATGGTGATGGATGTGTCCCCTGATCTCAGAATGCCAAACTCTCATGTCTGAAACTGAAAAACAGGACTGCAGAATCAAACAGTCCTGAATTTCAAATACACCTTGATCACCTACTGCTTAATATTGGCAAGTGGGAATGACAATACCTACTTCTTAGAGTTGTTTTAAACAGTGTATACAACTCCTAGTGTTCAGTTTGGTACACACTAGGTGCTCAATAAAGGTTAGCTTCATTCCTACCTCAAATTACTTTCACTTCCAAATTCTCCATTTCTTTTAGTGACATCGATATTATCCTAACAACACCAGGCTCAAACTTGTTATTTGTGGGCCCTCCCCCATTACTCCAAATATCTGCTCCACTACCAAGCGCTTGCTTTGAAATACAGCCCAGAGGTGGGTTTCTCCCCTCCATCCTTCCCCACGTGGGTCTCTTCTGTTCTATTTTTCTTTCTCTCTTTTTCACTTTTCACTGCTCTCTTGTCTCCCACACACCTGAGTCCCCCTCGTTTGCTCCTTAGTGCTCCCGTCCTTCCACTTGATCCAGGATGCAAACAAGCCTCAGAGTCTCCTCAGCCCCAGAGGTATTGCCACCTCTGCTCTCTCCTCTGGCTTTGCTCTGCTTCTCCCGTCTGGCTTCTTCTCTTTGGACAGGCCCCGGAGTCCTGGAAGGCCCAGGGGCCCCCCTCTGTCCAGCCTCACACTGGGCAGCCCCTTCCCCTGGCCGAGCCAGCCTGAGGGTGGTGGCACCGGCTTCTCTTTCATTCTCTCCCCTGCCATAGAAGCTCCTCTCTGCCTGTGACCCCCTCGCTCCCACCCAGCTCACTTAGAGAGTGGAGGGGGGTATCTCTCTGTCTCTCCTTCCACCTCCCCCTTCTCTCCCTCTTCCTCCATCTCCTTCCCTCTCTGTCTGAGTCTCTCTCTCTCTGTCCTTCTCTATTTCTCTCTCTGTCTGTCTGTCTCTCTCTCTCCCTGTCCATGTTCCTCTCTGTCTTTGTGACCTCTGACCCACCATCTGACTCTCCATCCACAGGGAGGCACAGTGGCCCTAAGCTACCCTTGGCTGAAACTGCCAAGCCCAGCCGTCTAACGCCAGCCTTCCACAGGGGACAGGCACCCACTATCCACATTGTGGAGGTTTGAGGGCATCGCCCTGACCCCCTACCCTCCCTTCTCCTCCCTGGGGGCCACCTCTACAGTCTGCAGGGTGAGGGGCGCTTACCGCTTCCTCCCGGCAGCAAGAGGCCAGCCAGGGAGGCACTGAGCAGGACGAGGCACAGTGGGCCCGCCATGGTGTGGCCGAGGACAGTGTCTCTGTCCCTGGGGCAAGGTTCACTTACCCTGGCTCGTGGCCGGTTGTCCTTCTGCTTATCACAGCCTCCTGATTGGAGCCTGGGCCTGCTGGGGGGGTACAGGGGCAGGTGACCGTGCTGAGGGCATGGTCACTCTGGCCTGTGCAGTCCTGGAGAGGTCCTGGCTGAACCTCATCCTCATTAGTAACTGTGTCCAGTGGGGCCTGCTTTGGACAGAGGAACTTTTTGGTCTAAGAATAACAGTGTCATTTTAGAGTCTTCAGACGTTGGTGTCTAGCTCTCATTTCATCCTTATAACCACGATAAAAGCTGAGAATCATTTCCCCGTATTTTCTCCAGAACAGAAGGCCGAGGTTGAGAGAGAGGTGAAGCATTGCCCAGGCCGTGTGTGGTGCACATGGGGTTTGAACCCGGGACTCACTGCCCCGGGTCCTGCTTCCCCTTGGCCTGGACCAGTCCTGCTCACGGGCCTCTCTGCAGGTGTATCAGGTGGCACCCTGCAAAGGGCCTCTGTCACAGAGTGTCCTGTGCTTCACCTCAGTGTCAGGCTTGTTCCGCCACCCCAAAATTCAGGGGCTCCGGGAGGCAGAGCATGTCTGAGAGCCTCTGTGCCACACGGCTCCTTGCGCGCAGGCTTCTGGGAGGAGCACCCCCTGCCCGGCGCCTGGAGGGAACTGCTCTGCCGGAACCACCATGTGATCTGTCGACAGCAGGGCAACTTGGCCCGAAGTCGAGAGGGGCTGTGCCATGAGGAGCAGCTGGACCTGCCTCTCTCTGCCCCACAACAAAGCCACGGAGATGCCCGTAGGTGTCGGGGCCCAGATTCCCCGACAACGGCTTTGCCCATACCCTACTGGTGGCTGGGTGGGGGCGGGGGAAATGAGCCCTGAAATGCCAGAGGTCTCACGGTGAAGTCCGTTGCTCACTTACATGAGACTTGATACAGGTCAGCAGGGAGAGAAGGTGGAGGGCTGCGCGGTGCCCGGGGGCGGGGGGAAACGGAGGTGGCTTCCTGGGCCAGCCCCACCCTGGGCCTGTCCTCAGCCCCTCCTGGAGGGACAGGAAGGATGGAGGACACCTGCTCAGCACTCACCAGCTCCACAGAATTCGGGAGTCTCCCCTGCCAGGCTCTCATCCAGGAAGATCCCAGAACTAGGGGCTGCATCACCTTGTGACAGACGACAGGCGCCAGGGAAGGCGGGTCACCTCAGGTCTGTGCACCGAAAGCAGCTCGCCCCCTCAGTGGGGCGGCTGGGAGGGAGGGAGGTGTGCACACAGCGGGTGCACACCAGGTACCCGGTCACTCACCCAGCCAGAGCCTCCCCAAGCGTCAGGCGTGGGGACGCGGCCCTGAGCCCTCCGCTGACCGGGGTCTCTGCAGCCGGACTCCAGGCTCTGGAGGAGAAGGCCTGAGAACTGGCTGGCGAGGCTGGGGCTGTGCCGAGAGAGCCAGAGAGAGAGAGGTAGACTGCACTGTATTCCACGGCACCAAGCACCATTCCACGTCATGATGGGTCACCCGACGCCTGTGGTCCTTTGGATACAAGCCTCTTGTGTCTGGCTTGTTTGCTGCTCTGTCTCCAGCACCCAGAAGGGTGTCTGGCACACAGTAGGTGCTCAGTAATCACCAAAGGACTGAACGAATCGGTGATGTCCCGAAATGATCCTGCTCAGGGCGAGAGGCTAGGGCTGGCCTTTCACTGGGTGGTCACAGTGACATGCAGAGCCCGGTCCTTGGGGACGACCCGCAGTCGGTGCCCTGGGCCCATCTCACCTGGTCTCTTTGTGCTGCAATACTGTCTCTAGGCACGGTCGGCATATGGGGGAGACGGGGTTCTGTGTGAGCCCCTCCCTGGCCCAGCGCCTGGAGCCACTCACGGAAAATGGAGATGAGCCCTGATGGGACGTGACTATATCTGCTCATCGAGTGTGTTAGCCTTCAGGGGTCGTCCTGACATCCCCGGCACCCAGCTCACTGCAGCTCTGTGACAGCCGGGGAAACTGAGGCAGAGCCCGTGACCCACCCAGGACCCTGTTACCCCATGTGGGTCTGGGGTCTGGGTCAGCTCCCTCCTCCCCTCTTCTTCTCAGGAAGAGGAGTCCAGCCAGCTTTCATTTTCTGGAAGAAACAAGAGATTTGGTGGGCTCAGGGCCTCCAGAGACCTGGTGCATTTTGGCTGTAGAATTTCCCCTCAGTTCCTGCAGCTTGAGCTGGGGAGCCAGAGGACGTCCAGATGGTTGCCAATCGGCTTCACCGTCTGTGACGATGTGATTGAGTCCTCCCAGGAGCCTCATTTTACGGGCACTGGTTTCATCCTCATGACAAGCACCAAGGCGGGCTCCCTCGGTGCCCATATATGAGGAGACAAGGCACAGAGAAAGAGGGTGAGCGGCTTGGCCAAGAGCAAGAGGCAGGGCCACTCTTGACCCAGGAGGCCTGGCCTAATGTCGGGTCTCCTAAGCGCATGCCCGATGGCGTGGTGACATCCTGACAGACACAGCCTGGCCAGGGAGCAAACCTCGTCTGTAAAGGCCCAGAGTGTGAATACGGTAGGTCTGTGGGTCAGATGGTCTTGTTGGCCAGACAGTCTCTGTCCCAACTACTTAGCACTGCGGTTTTAAGCATGGATGATGTATAAAGGAATGGGAGTGTCCCAATAAAACTTTAATTATAAAAACAGGTGTCTTGGACTCAGCCCCAGCCCCTGGTCTACTCTGAACTAAATTATGGCTGATTGTTCAGCAGAGCGAGTCCTGGCTCCCTAACTTACAGGTGTTACACACCGTTGGTGTTCCAGGCACAGGACAGGCCAGTTGCCATCCCCCGGGTGTGTCCTGGGGGAGAGGGGGGCCTGCTGGGTCTGCTCTATCCACCTTCACCAAGTTCAGGCAGGGCCCACTTTTATGTCTGCTCCCCTCCTCTGATCATTTGCTTCCCCACCTGAGGCCTATCGGGCTCCACAATCGCCTGTGGGACTTGATAAAAAGGTGACTCACTGGGTGTCCTCCCCTGGATCCCGCTGCTCTGGGCAGGACCTGGGAGCCTGAATTTTGTGGAGCACCACTGGTGGTTCTCAGGCCGGTGTTCCCCAGGGCTCTCTTTGAGGACCATCATCAACTAGGGCCTTGCAGGAAAAGAACACCCAATTCTGTAGGGTTTGGGAACTACAGCCTCCAAAATCCTTCAGAGAGGGGCCCACCCAGTGGCATAGTGGTTAAGTTTGCACATTCCACTTTGGTGGCCCGGGGTTCACTGGTTCGGATTCTGGGCGAGGACTTACCCATCACTCATCAAGCCATGCTGAGGCAGCGTCCCATATAGAAGAACTAGGAGGACCTACACCTAGGATATACAACTATGTACTGGGGCTTTGGGGGGAAAAAAGAACAAGAAGAAGACTGGCAACAGATGTTAGCTCAGGGCCAATCTTCCTCAAAAAAAAAAAAAACCCACAAAATCCTTCAGAGAGCTCTCAGTTTCAAAAACCAGGCTCCAGGGGCTGGCCTGGTGGCGCAAGTGGTTAAGTGCTCGCGCTCCGCTGCAGTGGCTTGGGGTTCGCCGGTTTGGATCCCGGGTGCGCACCGATGCACTGCTTGTTAAGCTGTGTTGTGGCAGTGTCCCATGTAAAGTAGAGGAAGATGGGCACGGATGTTAGCCCAGGGCCAATCTTCCTCAGCAAAAAAGAGGAGGATTGGCATTGGATGTTAGCTCAGGGCTGGTCCTCCTCACAAAACAAATAAATAAATAAAAACCAGGCTCCATGTAAGAAGGTTCATGTCAGTGTGTTGGTAATCGTGAAAGAAAAGAACAGCTCGATGATAGACATCAGGGTCTCAATGACATGAATTATAGACAATCTGTGAATGGCGAGCAGCCGGAAAGAATGCTCTGAGGAGAGTCAGCTGTTTGCTGATAGTGGGGAGAAAAGGTGGCAGACGGTACGTAGAGCATGAGCACTTTCCATTTTATGGTAAAAGATCCACATATAAGGGCCGACCTGGTGGCGTAGTGGTTAAGATTGTGCGCTCTGCTTCGGCAGCCTGGGGTTCACAAGTTTAGATCCCTGGCACAGACCTACACACCGCTCATCAAGCCGTGCTGTGGTGGCGTCCCACATACAAAATAGAGGAAGATGGGCACAGACGTTAGCTCATGGCCAATCTTCCTCACACACACACAAAAAGACCCACATATAGAAAGATCTGGAAGGATATCCACCAAAGTGAATGGATGATGCTTCCAATTTATCTGAAAAGATGATGAAATACTTGTATAAGAGAGAAAAAGATGAACGTTGACAGACAGCCCTCAGGCAGTAGCACACATCACTGTGAATACACTTGTGCACACCTCTGTCATGTCGGTGACGAGACGCAGCAGAAACGCGCAGGCGTGCGCAGTCACTTCTCTGTGACCCCCGCACCGTCTCCTGTCTCCCTCGCCCACTCTCCTGTGTCTCTCGTCTCAGTCCGTCTCCTGGAATCTCTGAGTCTCTCTCGCCCCTCAGTTTCTCTCTCTCCTCCGTTCTCTCCCCTCTCCTCTCCCTCTCTCAGTCTCTCCGAATTCCTCATTCTTCTGCTCTCCTTCTCTGGGGGTCTCTCTCCTTGCCTGTCTCTCTCTGTCTCCTTCTTTCTCTCCCTCCCTCTCCCCTCCCCACCCCAAGAACTGTAGAAGAATTTACGGGATCTGACGCCAGGACAACCCCGTGGCAGCAGCTTTATTTCCAGGAGCTGACTGCGAGCCTAGGGGAGTGGGGCCCGGAGGAGGCCTTCAGAGTGCAGCTCTGAGTGCATGAGCCTGTGCAGCCACTCCGTGTACTGGGAGACCCTGGTGTATACCCCAAAGTGGCCTGCGGCTGCACAGCCCTCCCCCCAGCTGACGACACCCGTCAGGTACCGAGTGCCCCGGAACTCGGTGGCATGTGGGCCCCCACTGTCACCCTTGCAGGCGTCCTGTGTGCCATCCAGGTAGCCGGCGCAGAACATGTTCTCCGTCAACGCCGGGGAGCCCGCCGTCCTGCGAGACTGCTCCAGGCAGTCCTGAGTCCTCAGCCTGGGCACGTCAATGGCCATGAGCTCCAGGGCCGTGGCACCCCTTTCGAGGAGCTGGCCCCAGCCACTGACGGAAGAGAAGCGAATGGAGGCCAGCGTCCTCTCGGAGAAGGTCTTCTCGGGCAGACAGAGGGGCACCACGTGGTCGGTGAAGGTCACAGGGCTCTGCAGGCGCAGCAAGGCCAGGTCGTGGTCCGTCTTGCGCGGGATGTACTTGTCGGGGACGATGATCTGAACCACTTGCCGCTCCTGCTCGTCGCCGTCCTCCTTGCTGACGTCGTGCTCACCTGCGGGGAGACCAGCACCGCTCACGGCCCTCGCCCTGCAGCCTCAGGAACCGCCCTTCCCAGAGCCTTCTTTAGGGCAGGAGAGGCCCTGCGTCCAGCCCCAAGGTGGCCTGAGCAGCCTCACAAGTGGCCGCCGTTGGGCTCCGTGCAGAGTGTGAGTCAGTGGTGACTCTGGAACCTGGGGCACTGAAGGCACGTGAGGAGGGGGGGTTGGGCCAGACAGCTGTGGGTGGGTAACGAGGGGGTGCCCGACTCCCCCAGTTCTTCCAGATGGGGCCTGGCCTCCCCCGGGGGTCCTTGTCCCATAAACCCCCCAGGGGGAGGCCAGCCCGCCGTGGCCACGGAGCCCTGTATGGCTGCATCCCCCTTGGGGTGGATGGAGCACCTGGCCTACGCAAGATGGGCAGGTATAGCGTCACCCCCATGTCTTTATTTGGGGTAGGAAAGAGGCTGAGGGACGGGGGCTGTGGTGGGACCCGCAGGCAGTGGAGTCTGCCCAGGCACTGCCCACTTCTCTTTCAGAGAAGCTCATCTGGTCATGGAAGTCGGAAGTCGGTAGTTCGAGGCCCCGAAGCGTAGCCCCGGGTGGTTCTCTTGGAAGGACCTTCCCTCGTCAGAAGGAGGTGAGCGCAGACCTACCCAGCACTGCTGTCAGGTTCTTCCAGCTCCTGATTCTGTCGAAACAGTGGGCTGCGGAGACCACCCAGGTGGTGTCGAGCAGGGTGCCCCCACACAGCAGCAGCCCGTTCAGCTTCAGCAGAGCCTGACAAGGGCACAACAGGTGTTGGAAGGTCACATCATAGTCACCCTTCCTTGGGGACTCACCTTTCCCATGCACCCTTAGGGGAGGCTGCATTGACAGGATCGTTTCTGAAATCCTGGGGGTTCCCCAGAGCCCTTCCTGGGCAAAGCTGCTCCGACTCCTCCCCAGCAGGCCGTCTCCCCACCTCGCTAAGGGAAGGGAAGCTGCGGGCACGGGCTTGACGATGGAAATGTGGGGGCTCGATTCCTCTGTGCATCTCCTAGTACTGTCACCCAAGTGAGACCTAACATGCCTGACTTGCAAAGGTCAGGCCAAGGTCGTGCTCCTCAAGCATGTGAGGGGTGAATGGAGTAACTGATGAAGCACTGAGCCTGTTCTCGGCACCCAGGTGACCCGCAGTAAATGCTTCCTCTTCTCTTCTTCCTAAAAGCAAAGGGGGTGCTGAGCGGGGCCCCGAGTGAATCATGGGTGGTGACGTTTTCCCTGCAGTGATTCTCCCAGGGTGGATGGGAAAGGAGCCCAAGTCTCCATCCAGGCCATCTGCGGACAGCGAGGAATTGCAAGGCCAGAGGGCGGCCTGGCTGAGGGGGAGGCGGACCGGCCAGTAAATGGTCCTGGTCTGGTTGTCGCCAGTCAGCATGTGTCGTGCTGAGGTCGGATCAACCAGGGAGGAGACTGGACGTGGGTCAGCCAAGCTGGGGCCCAATGCCCCGAGTTGTGGACAGCAGGACAAAAGGGGCCAGGGAGGTACCCCTCTCCTCATCCAGACTGGCAACTCTGACCCCTCAGAGAAGAAAGCACAGTAAAACCCCACGACGGGAACAGCCGCCTGCGGATCAGAGCCACAGTCGCTGCCCGGTGCCGGAAAATCTAACCCTGCCTGGCTGACGGTGACTCTGTAGCTGCAGCTTGGAGAGGCGGGCAGTCTGGGGTGGTTGTTACAACCTGGATCTGTGCCTCCCGGGACCAGATCTCAGCTCTGACTGGGCAAGGCACTGAACCTCATGGGGCCTCAGTTTCCTCACCTGAAAAATGGGGCAAGAGTTGCACCCACCTCTCAGGCAGGGTCGTGGGGGTTAAATGATACTGAGAGGTGAGGTCTTGGTGGGCTGGGTCCAGGGAGCACGTGCTGGGAAGCAGTATCTGCTGCAATCACCCCCAGCGAGCCCACCTAAGAACTCCCACCGTAAATGCACAGAAACCCATGTTCGCCAACCTGCCTCTACCTCACAGAGGCCTTGCCGGCCCATTATGGGGACTCTGGTGAACACATCAGCCCCATTTGGATGTGTCTAGCTCAGATTATTCCTCTCAACACCAGCTGGGGTTCTCCCTGGACCATGAAGGCCCCTCTAGGCCCCAGCCGCCTGCCCTGACCACTGTGGGAGGTGGGGTGGGGCAGGGGGAGGCTGGGTGGGTGCAGGACCGCCAGCTCAGCAAGAAATGCAGCTTCTGAGACTGGTCTGGAAGGGGCCAGATGGCCGCCAAACAAGAGACTGGAGCTACCCGGAGCCCAGGGTCAGCCCAGCGTGACTGCTGACTCTCCAGTCTCAAGGTTCTTGTACATTTACTTGTATTTCTAAAAATTCTTAACTGTTTAAGTTGGGGTGTCTCTGAATGAGGAGTTAAAGAAGGGCCACTGAGTCGGGCTCAGACCTGAGTTTGCAGCTTGTATCACATGTGGGCACACACCCCCGGGCTCTCCTGAAATGGCGATTCTGACCCTGTGGGTCTGGGGGCCTGAGAATTGGCATTTCCAATAGGAACCTGGCTCACAGCCGGCATCACAGAGAGACGCCCTGGAGGGGCCATGCCCCCACAGACCTGACCCCGTGAGGGGGACAGCCTCCCCGACCGCAGGAGGATTTTGGCACGGATCAAGAATCTCAGCTCCCAGAGGCAAGTAGTAGATGCAGCTTTGGAGGTGACTGAGCTGGGTTCAAATCCTGCCTCTGCCATTTATTGTGTGTGTGGCCTCAGTTTCCTCATCTGTAAGAGGGGAGTGTGCGTGATGAGGTAGTGAGGGGAGAGGGTGAGCTGGAGCACCAAAATCCCAGCTAAATGCAGATGTGTTGTGGACAAGCAGAAGTGGACTTAGAATCAGGGGGAAATCCACTCCAGCACGGCATGAGCAGGGTGGCTCTGGCCGGGGCGTGTTGTGATTGACCCACCCTTTCCCTTCGAGGGCCCTGAAGCCTTACCTGCCAGGGACACTGCCCTTTGGGGCACACCTTGCCGCCCACAATTCGGCCTTCAGGTTCGCTGTCATTTCTTTTTTCCAGAACAGGTATTTTTCCACATGGATATTCAACTGTATAAAACAACGTCAGCAAGCTGTGGGGAATCACGACGGATGACGGTGCAAGTGAGAAGAGGGCATGAGGCCTGTGGGCAGCTCTGCCTCTGGCCCCAGCCCCAGGCTGTGGGAGCCGCCAGTGGGCAGATGAGCCAGCGGCTGGCTTTTCAGGAGCAGAGGGCCCTACTTCTTGAAACTGCTAGTTTTTCCAGGAAAAAAAGATGTGCTTAGGGGCCGGCCCAGTGGTGTAGCAGTTGAGTTTGTGCGCTCCACTTTGGTGGCCCAGGGTTTGCTGGTTCGGATCCTGAGCGCAGACTTACTCACTGCTCATCAAGCCATGCTGTGGCGGCGTCCCATATAGAAGAGCTAGAAGGATGTACAACTAGGATATACAACTATGTACTGGGGCTTTGGGGAGAAAAAAGAAAAAGAGGAAGATTGGCAACAGATGTTAGCTCAGGGCCAATTTCAAAAAAAAAAAAAAAAAGATGTGCTGCTTGAATTTACTAAAAGGTGAAGGGTGTTCTGTCTAAAGGACAGCCAGCATCTCAGACCGCCATATGCTGCTCCTTTGGCCCCACCCTTGGCTGCTGGTTTGCTCCAGTGAAGTCTCTGGGCCAGAAGGGAAGGCATCCAGTGGAGGCAGCTGAATTTCAGGCTCCTTAGACTGGGCTGGGCACATCTCTTCTGTGTGAAGAGACAGAGGGCTTGGGGTGCCCCAGCCTTTGGAATTGCAGCCCTGTTAGTTTGAGGTTGGTTTGGAGAAATTTTCCATTTTCCTAAAAGTGCTGGCCTCGACAAAAGATTCATAACCCAGTATTGTGCTGCAGTCAGTGCAGACCCTGGTGTGGCAGTGTGGAGTCCCGTCAGAATCTGCGTGCTGGGAGTGGGGCGGGGAAAGCCTCCTTCTGCTCCTCTGGGCCCGCCTAGAATGGGCAGGTGGCCTGAGGCCTGTCCAGGAGCCGCTCCCAGGGCTCTGTCCTGCCCGCTGTTGCCTGGGCCCGCTCTCAGGGGGGCGGCCACCTCCACTCTCAGTCTCCTCCCTGCCTCACTGAGCATGGAGTGGTCCACACCGGGAGATGCTCAGTGAATAGTATGCCCCCATATTCATCTTTTAGCCACTAAGAGAACTTGTGTCGGGCAGGAACTGGGGACTGGTCGTCTAAAAATGAAACAGCACACAGACCCTGGAGCCTGGTCCCTGAGGACCCATTACCTGTGGATGCGCAGGACACTCCGTCGGCCTGGAGCTCGTACCCCTCGTGGCACCAGCAGGAGCGCCTGGCCCCTGCGTGATCGGTGCAGTACTGCTCACAGCCCCCATTGTCGTTCATGCAGATCAGCTGGTCGTTCTTGTCTGAGGACAGAAGGGGACAGCCTGAGAGGGCCTCCACTGGTCAGGGAAAGCCAGCCCTGGTGGCGACCCCTCCCTGGGCCGGAGCAGCGTTCTGCACAAAGACGGCGCTCAGCTGCCTGCTACAGAGACTGAGCCTGGCACCACCTCAGTCTGCAGATTGATCCAGAAGGGAGGACCTGGAGTTAGGGGGGGTCCCAGCCTAGCCAGTGGGCTAGGGCTGGCATGGCTGTGTCACCCCTTCCGGGAGCTGGGGAAAGCAGAAGTCCCCTGGGGACAACTTAATGGGACACTTGCCAGCAAGAGGCCAGAGAGATGAGACTGTTTTACAGCCAGGCCCTGGTGTCCCAGTGAGCTGACCTGGGGCTGACCACTGGCTCGGACAGGCAGAGACAAGGAACGTTTGACTTAACTCTAAAGGAGAGCGCTTTGATGTGGGAAACGGGATTGGTGTCCTGTGTAAGTCCAGGACCCCCATTGGGAAGGCCAATCCTGGGAGTGAATTCACACCAGGGCTTCTGAGCATCAAAGGCCCTGGGAGTGAATTTACACCAGGACTGCTGAGCATCAAAGGCCCTGGGAGTGAATTCACACCAGGACTGCTGAGCATCAAAGGTCCTGGGAGTGAATTCACACCAGGACTGCTGAGTGTCAACGGCCCTGGGAG